TTTTTACAGATCTTGATACAAATTGTTAAATTGGCATTTCAGCTCTGAGCACTCAGTTTACTAGTATAGGTGACCATCTCTAATACAGATTGTTGCAATAATTTTGACTGCAAAGGTATTTTTTAGCACTTAGTAGTCCTATGATGGGGCATCTGAGATAAAATACAATGATGCATAAGAGGGTTTTAACTTTTTGTTGTTGTTAATAATAGCTAATAACAACCAGAAAATAATAGCTGAAATAATCAGAAACTTAACAAAGTTAAGTTTGCTAGTTTCATATGTTTAAAGTCAATGCTTCAGTGGGCCCTATTGGCACTAATTTATAGACTCCTGCTGTAGGCACTTTCTTTCTTTATGGCCTCATTTAAGTTGATGTAAAGTCACCAAGGGCATGTATGGCATAAAGACTCATTTCAGCAGTTAAAAATAAATAGTAATTACTGCCAAGTGAGTTCCTGTGCACATATGTTTGTGTGTGTGCATTTTATATTCAACAAAATTACTTTAAATAAGAAATAATTCTTTACCTCTTATTCCAAGGAATAGGTCAGAGAGTTACATGAGAAAAAAGATCTTCAGTGTCAGTTTATCATCTTCCATTTCAGTCACTGATTGATTTGAAATAATATATCACAATCTAATTATCCTTCACAATATTTCAAATATAATGTTACTGATATTTCTACCACTGTGTCTAGATCTATAGAAATGTCATGGTTGCTATTTATTAGGTTGAAATCCAAACCAAATCTATCAGAAATGACAATCAGGGGTCTTAATGTAAACTTAAAATACTGGGGTTTTCCTTTTACCAAATTTACAAATGGAAGATATAACATTGGATTGTACTCTAATGTTCAGAAATAGATTTACTTATAAACTTGTGAAGCAACAGTTTATTTATCCATTTATTTATTCTAAACATAAGAATATTTATCTTTTTTTTTATTTTAAAAGATGTTGAGATGTTGGGTATCTGTGTGTGCCAGGGTAAATACTGGTAGATAGAAATAAAATTATAAATACTATATTTTCCTTATTTAAAGACATTTTAAAAAGCCGTGTAAAAAATATATCTCATAGAATCAAAATGTCGCATGGGTTGGAGTAAAATAATACAGAATTAGCATGGATATTACAGTTGTTTTAACTTTCCCACTGAGGAATTTTAGGGTGTTGAAGAAAATAATTAAATCTTCAGAACTGATTGCAGAGGAGAAATTGAAGCAGATCAGTTAGGAAGTTTTTACAATAATCTTAATCAAATTATACTTATTAGAATTAAGATGTCTGAATTGATCAAATGACTTTCACAGGTGTAATGTTAAAATGACATGGGAAGAAAAATTTTCTGTAAGTTTGATAATATCTTATACTGGTTTTCACATTGTTTTAATAAACAAACTTCACAAAAAGATCAATTGCAACTGTTAGTATTATTATTTAGTAATGTGATAGACAAAACTCCTATTGAAAGAATGATTTCAATTTTTGCAATTTTGAAGGTTCAAAATACTTAAAATCACTACTGTTAAACATTTCAACAGTTGTTCTCAAATTCCAGGAGAACATCTAATTGGAACATTTAGAAAATTATTAACTACATTTGCCATATTCCCTTGCAAGTAGCCATATGAATATTCATGGAGTGCAATAACTCTTTTGAGATTCAGAGAAATGAGAAAATAATCTTTCTTTCTTCTGGTCATCATCAGTCGGTACGAAGGATAGAATAACATGTTCTAGTATTCTTGGTGGCTAGCAATGGTGGCCCCAGAATTAGCAGCTTCCTTAAATTTCAAGATCTATTTGTATGAAATATAAAACTCTGGAGTGCACTTTGGTTCTATAATCATTTCAATTAATTTGTTTAAAATATTTAGGTTGGTGTCTGATTTTTTCAGTAAATATGACAGTAAGGTTTTGTATTACAGAAGATAAAAGTTTCCAACTTAACATTCTTGAAAATTTCTATCTCTCTCTTTCTATATGGTATCATATATACTTATTTATATACATACATAGAGAGATACCACTAAAACTAGTTTTATGTGGAAATTTAAAACATTTTAATTGGGAATTAATGTTCTACTATCAAATTCACCATGCTGACATATACAATGTAGGGGAATTTTTACAGAGGCAAAACCCACAAAAGTGCTGGTGTTCTTTCTTTCCAAAGAAGCTTTTGTAAGATGAGAAAGTTAAACTATATTTTAATTCATTTCAGACATGAATATGTCAAATTTCTGTTTTAAACATTTTCATTATTGACTTATACACTTAGAATATTTGAAAATAAGCAAAAAAGAAATTCTACAGATCATCCACAAGCTATGTAAGTATATATTGCAACTTTACTCTGCCATGGAACAATGAAGTTATATTTAAGATATTCTATGAATAAATCAGTAGTTGACTTTTCTTACATATATTTTAATATAATCATTAAATGAATATAATCAACTAGTTTCATTGTATTAAGTCTATTAAATCTCCAAGATAAAATACAATCAGTGGTCATTCATTAAATACAAGAGTAAACTGTAGCATTTGTATTAATGGTAATAAGAAGTAACAACAGCACTAGTAATAATAACTAATTCTTTGAGAACTTACATGTTATCAGATACTTGTACTTTATGTGTATTGGTTTACTTTGAATCTCTTAATATCAGTGTGAACTAGATTTTCCCATCTCTATTTTATAAAGTGATGCAGAGATTAAATAATTTGAGCATAGCACAACTAACATACTGGGGAAGTGGGACTTGAAACAAAACCATCTGATTCCAAAGACCGTTATGCTACAGCCATAAATTTATGCTTGCTATTTTCTTTGACAAGCTTAAAATCTTCTTAAATCACTCTTCTGCAAACAAGCAGAAAATGAAAGTATCTTTTACAATTCAAAGTAGTGTCATAATTTAATAACATTTTAAATAAGCAAAATGAATACAGAATGTGATTCAATGACTACTAAATATTGCAAACTATATACATACATAGTGGACTTTAAAAGAGAAAGTAGTTCAAAAGGGCCATCTCTATTTCAACTTCCTTTTAATTTATATTTTTTTATTTTTAATAACTATAAATTGATCTCAAAATTACAGTGGATGTATACATGTGTTAGAAGGGATCAATTCTTCCACAAATGAAGACAATATTTATGTGTGGGACACTTATTCTCCTTTTGCAAACATGACTGCCTATTGTTTTTCTGTAAACAAAAGGAAATAATCCTTCAATTTGAAAAACAGTGACTAATTTTTACTAATTAGTGCTGGGTTTCTGCAACATGATAAAATGTCTTTCTACCATGTGTCTATAAATAATTTAAAATATCCTTCAGCAAAAAAAGTAGAAAAGCAATCATCACAATATTTTTTTCATTCTTTGTAGGTTAGAAAACTAGAATCTGGGAAGGATTTGAAAATATGTCAGGGAAATATTTTTTCAGTTTCAAAATGAAAATAAGAGTTTTTGAAAGATTTTCAAATCCTCAACTATTAAACAAGATGCAAATAATTCCTGTAAATGATAAAATAAGAAACCACTGCATAAGCAGATAACATAAGTGTAATTGTCAAGGGAACCATCTCAGAGCTTTGAAAGTTGTTGATTCTTCAGTAAGATGCAGGGACATATGGAATGTATGGTAGGCAAATATATTTATTGAAAGCATCTCAGTTCTACAATGAATTTGTATTTAATTTTTCAAAAATTGGTCCTTGATAAAATCTTAAACATATTTAGCAAATAGACTTCAGACTATAGATAATAAGTAGATTATATACATCTATGTGAAAAGACTTTGGGAGATAATAGCAACGATCATTTATTGAGAAAATTTTTAAGTGATTATGCTAAGGGCTTTTGTTACTTAAGAATGAATAAGACCTTATTCTTTAAAAAGGTTACAGAGAAAATAAAATAAGACATATCAAGTTATTAACTGCATAGATTGGAGAGTTACTGTAAGATTTACAGAAGAGTTTTTGTCTGAGAGTATTTCACTGTGTGTATATAACACGTGTCTTAATTCAATCATACGGCTTTGGGCCCTTAGGGTGATTCCACAACTTCCCTGTAGTAAATAGTACTGAACTTAAGAATGCATGTATCCCTTCAAATTAGTGTTTCCACGTACTTTGGGTAGATACCTAGGAGTGGAATTGCTGATCATATGGTAGATCTACTTTAAATGTTTTGAGAAACCTCCATACTATTTTCCATAGAGGATGGACAAGTCTAGATTCCCAACAACAGAGGATTTTAGGATTATTATCTTCTTCACATCCCCACCAATACTTACTGTTTCTGTTCTTTTTAATACGGGTCATTCAACAGGTGTGAGGTAGTATCTCACTGTTGTTTTGATTTACATTTCCCTGATGACAAGTGATGACGAACATTTATTCATGCACCTGTTTTCCATTACATATATATTATATCCAAGATCTATTAAAGTCTCATATAATTGAACATAAAGGAAATAAATAACCCAATCAAAAATGGGCAGAAAAACTAAATAGACACTTATGGTTTCTATAAGCTATCCTCAATTCAGAAATAGGTGAGTAGAAATAAATGATAAATGAAGCCAGGTACCTTAGTTTGCTAGCCCTGATGCCAGATACTACATGTGTATTATTTCACAACATCTGCATTAATTTTCACATATTATTCCTCACTTGAAATGAGGAAACTGAGGAGTAGAATAGTTGAGCAAAATGTTACTTAGCTAAAAGAACAGAACTAGAATTTGTAATTACATTTTCTTGACCTGCTAACCATTATACGTATTAGTCTTTTGGTCAAGTGTCTATATTAGTCAAGATTAATTTCAGCTCTGAATAACCAAAATCACAAAACTAGTAACAGCCTTAAAAATTACATACGAAGTATGATAATTTCTTAGGACTGAAGCGGAAACTAGTGATGACAAGAAATCAAAGTTGCTTTTACCTTGTTTCTCTGTTATTCTCATCAAGAACCTTCCAACTTATGATTCAAGATCACAACTAAAGCTCCAGCTAACATACCTAAACTCTAATCAGAGGATAAAAGGAAGGGGAAGAGAGAAGAGCAATGCTATTTTTATTTATGAAACTTCCCACAAGCTACATACACTTCCAGCTTTCAATGATCACAACAAAGAAATCTGAGAAGTAAATCTTACCTGGAAGTATTACAGGTAACTACATGCCCAGGGCACAACTTCTGTAATTTCAGAAGGCAGAAGTAAAATGTGAAAACTGGCAGAAAATTAAAAAAAGGTTCTGTAGGTGGGTTTTATGTAAGCTCTATCATCTAGGTTATACCACAATCTAATGAAAAATAATCCTAAGTAAGCTAAATAATTTTTATAAACACAGCTGGATACAAATAGGTAGTAGATAGTAGATCCAAGAAACAAATCCAGCTAAGTTTGACTAAGCCCATATAATTTTCACTACAGGAGTTTTCAAGGTGATTTGAGGATCTGACAAAAAGCTTATATTAATAAGACTTCTCTTAGAACTTCTGAAGTCACACTCTGTGAACCAAAAAAAGACTATTACAGTAATGATTGTTAACAATGATGTGAAGGAAATGGTAACTTGTTCTAGAGCTTGATCAGAATTTGCGTTGAGATAGGGGTGATCAAGATATATAATTATATCATATATATCTATAACTATCTGTTCCTACGCTGCTGCTACACAGCAGCAAGGTTGCAGAAAATATATGACCTATCAACTCTCTATCAAGACCCTGAAGTGTACATTTTCCCTCAAATTTTATCAAATGCAAGTAATTTAAGAACATAATATTTTAGTGGTGAAACACAGTAGTATACACATATGGTGATTTATAATGATGTTCATCTGCAACTTCAATAGAAAAAATAAATATATAAACAAGAGCATTTTTTAAAAATATGATCTTGGATTTTAATGTACACATTTCTTTGATTATTTCATACAATGTTTAAAATTGTCTAAAAAGTTACCCAAAACTTAAATTATTTAAGAACATGACTCCAGATTTTGATGTACTTTATATCCTTGATATTTTTATTCAATTTGAGAAGTTGAACAAAAAATATTATTTTAGAGGTGTGTATGAATGTGTATATTTGGAATATAAAGGATACCTAACTCTCTAAACTGGAAACATTTCTGAGGAATACAAAATTCAAATACTTATTTTTTATTAATTAATTTTTATTTGTTTATTTTTATATCATTGTTCATTTTTAAACAATATTTGCTTCTCCCCACCCCCTCAGGTGTAGTTCCCATAGAGTTTCCTTCAATGCACAAGTGCACCATCACTTCAGTCCCCTCTGCTCCTGCCTCCCACCCTCTGATCCCTCTCCCTCCTCTTCCCCTGCCAGATGAAAAAAAGAAAAATATGAGATGGTTTCACTTCTAGCAGAAATATAGGGGAACCAAATAAGGAGACATCAATGTAAAAATAATAATGGCAGTACAAATACTTCTTTTAAAAGAGATTTGGAAATTAAAGAATGTGTGGTTGGGAGGAAACAAATTTTCTCACATATCAGTACTAAATCTTCAACATTTGTCAATGATTTGCTTTTATTAAAAGCAGGCCAAATCCTAAATTGTTCTCCTCCCAGTAACAAATTATTTTGACGATATTCAAGAAAGCATGTAAGCAGTTAATAGTCTAACGTGGAAAAAACTGTATCTACAAATAAGATATTTAGAGAGAAACTTTGATTGCAAATACTGTAATTATCTTGGTAACATTCTATTACATCTATTTTAAAACTGGGTCATAATTTTTCACAGAGAGATGAAAGCATTACTTCAGTTTCTTTCCTGTAGGATACAGATTAATTCAGTCATCATTCTTTTGACATTGCACTTACCCAGTGAAAATGATGGGGAATTGAACATAAAAGCTTTCCTGCCCGCACATCCCCATCCCCTGGAGTTCCACCTTTTCAGATAAAATCATATAGAATTAAATAATTTTGGGGTTGCAAAGAGCCTTAAAAGTTACCTACTTTAACCACCTTTCTGAAGCATGAATTAAATACTTGATTATAAAAAGTGACAACTATACCAGATATAATTTCAAGGAAAAAAATAGTTTAGGTTCTAAGATAGGTTCTGTATGTAACAATGAAAGTAGATTTATTTTCACACACACACACACACACAAGTTATATCTGTAAAGTCCAGGTCCGTACCACAGCATTCCCTTGCAATTAAAACTACAGAAATTTTGGTAAACTGATTAACTGATAAGTATGATGATTTTTTTTAAAGAAAGCATTTTTTTTATTTTTTACATCATTGTTCATTTAAAAAATTAATATTAAAAATATCTAAAAAAAAAGAAAAAAAAAAACCTTGGAAGGTACCTGCTACCCAAATCTGACAGAACAATTTGAACCATCAGAGGGAATATCTGCATCTCCCATAGCTTAATTCTTTGATGACTTCTCAATTTGTTCATTTATTTACTCTCGGAGTGGTGGTGGTGACAGTAGGGGACAAAATATAAGGGAAGGACTATAAGGACACTGACAAAATGAGGCCAGGAAAGGTAGATGGGACATTCTGTGATGATAAATCATATGAGGACAGTTTTTCCTGTAAGGAATTAAACTTTACAATTGATCAAGAAATATCATAGGCCCACATCTTTGTCCCATATATATTTTCAATGAGAAATAAAAGCATATTTAGATAGTGTTGAAAATATATCTGTCAAAGCAGAGGGGGTGCAAGTTTTGTTACTGTTCTCTGTCCTCAAATACCTGCCTTCTATAGAGTACAGTTGTACAACTCAAACAGAGGAAATATTTCATTTACCAGGAAGACACCTCTAACAACTTAATAGTACTTGGGATAGACTTCATCTTTTTTTTTTAATCAAGTTGTACTTTCAAGTTTCTGGTATCTGTATGTTGTATGGTAGTTATAAATGTATATAAGCTTGCCTTTGTTGAGACCACAGGTACCATCATCACAGTGCAAGGTTTAAAGAACATATACAGTATAGGGAATGGCATTAGCACTACAAAAATTCTGAAGAAATATCTGAAATTTGGTTACAAGTTACTTTGAAAGACATGGAAATGTGATTGGTATTGGGAATTGCAAGGATTTTGTGGAACTAATTTTCTAGTACCACACTTATTTGAACCATTTTACCCAGTAGATGGCCTATCTTAACACGTCATTGAGTTTCAAAGTTTTAGATCTATTTGCTAAAGATCAGTGTATCAATGGTTTAGTCCATTTTATATCAGTTTCATGCTTTCCTGAGTAATAAAGTTAGTTAAGCTTAAAAACACATGAAAGTGTTAGATATTATATTGTTATATATTTTTTTCATCTCTTCTCTTATCTCTTACTCTGGGCTTGTGTGTGTGTACATGTGTGGGGAGGTCAACATATAATCTCCCACTTACAATTTCTCTCCAAATATTAAAGGAATTGGCTTTGGTATTATCATCTTAATTATCATTTTTGTACATGTTGGGTTCAATATTACTCTTTAATAACTTGTTGGAAGGAAAAGAAATGTCCACTATAAATCACAGATCTTTTTGCTCTCAAGCAGAAATGTGAAATGTTTCCGATAGAAAAAAGTACTGTTTGGTCTTAACAAAAAGATATCCACATTCTACTCAACATATAAAAAGGCCTCTCTGAGAAGCTATTTTGCTGCTGAACAGACATGAGTATGGCATCCTACCTTCAAGTACAACCAAGAAAGGTGAGATGATGTATAAATATAACAACCACCACACAAAGCCTTTAGTGTATCCATTTGCATAAATCTCTATTGCAGTTTCTAATCTCTGCAAATGTCAAGGTGATTTCAAAATCACTGATTCAATAGATAAACTCTAAACTACAGTAAAGATTAATATGTGTAGAAACAACAAATATTTCTACAACTCCAGCAGTTTGATGTGATTGATGCTCTAATCAAATGATCATATAATATACAAAACAAATTCTGAAAGTACACAAAAATTGTAATAATTCATAAACTAGAGAATAAGCTGTTAAATATTTTCCTTATTCATGAAGTTATGGTTCCAAAAGACTGATTTTATTTTATACTTTTAAAATCATTCTCATTTTTTTCTCTGGTACTTTTTTGACTTCAGATATTATTGAGAATCTTAGGAGCAATTGTGAAGTAAACATCATGGCTTTATCCATGCATGCAAAAGTCCCCATACTATATATGAGCAAAAATGTGGGAAATGTTACCAACATATAAGATTCTGTGAATTTAATGGCAACAATTTCTTAATGCTAACTATAGATCTTAAGGGAAGACAAATTTTTTTAGATTATTTATAAAGTGTCACTCTTAAAACCAAGTTCAACTTTGGTTCTTCCATATTTGTTCATTCATTCAACAAATACTCCCTGTTTATAAGCACTGTGCTACTGAAAGCAGATTGTTGAACATCTCTAATTTTTGCTTCATTATTTAAAAAATGTGGTAAATATTGCCCATCTCCAGGGTGACTATGAAACATTATACTCAAAGTAAAAGGGTAAACAAAATGAATATAAGATTCCTATTTCTTTTTGAATATGTGCTCAAATGTCCAAATTTTGGATTAAGAAACAGCATATTTCTCTTTAAAATGGGCTAGGGCCTCCCCGGTGGCGCAGCGGTTGAGCGCTGGGTTGCGAAGCTGCCCGCGGCCTCTGCGGCGCCGGTTCGATCCCCGGCTGCTCCCCGGCCACCAGAGGAGGGTCCCACATGGCGCGCAGACCTCTCCTGCCGCCCGCTGCTCCCCTCAGCAGTGTACTTCGGTCCTTCTGCCTGCTCTGCTCCCTGCTCTGGCTCTGGTGAATTCTCTCACCCTCCCGCGCTTCTGACTGTACCCAGTGCATGTATAAACCAAAAACAAACAAACAAATAATAAATAAATAAATAAGACATGCCTCTAGAAAATTTAAAAAAAAAAAAAAAACATAAAATGGGCTAATCACAGTTGCCAAGAGTTGAAAACAACCTCAGTGCCTATCAATGGATGACTGGATATATGAATATACACATAATGGAATACTACTTAGCAATAAAAGAAGATGAAATCCTGCTATTTACAACAACATGAATCCACATAAAGGGTATTATGCTAAGTGAAATAACTCAAAGATAAACACTATATGATTTCACTTACATGTAGAAGAAAAGATAAAAATAAAACAAAAGCAAACTCTTACTGGTTTGTTACCATGAGAAAAGGTAGAAAGAAGATTTGAGAATCAGATGGTGAAGAATGGAAAAGAGACATTTAGTGATGACATTAACACAGTATATACATATGCTGATTTATAATGCTGTACACCTGAAAATTATATAATGTTATAAACACATTACTTCAACAAAAATAATTAATGAGCTAAACATGACTGTGAAGAATTAAAAATAGATTTATAGTACACTAGCAGATTTCTTTTGTAAGTTGAAGAACAGTAAAACAATGCATATCATAATTTTGTTGTATTTAAAGTGTGAAATTAATCTTAATCTTTCCACACTAGTTGCAGAAGAGCCTCGTCTTTTTTTTTAATTTAAGATCTATCATTTTACCTTCACAAACCAGCTAGTTTCCACATATATAAGAACATATAAAGATATTTCTTTTGTAGAACAAAGTAGAGCCTGAGTCTCGGGCTGAGTCAGAAAAGTCAGATTCGACCAGTTCTTAGGCTTTGATGTCAAGTAGACATCCTCACATTTCAAATTCATATTGAGGAACATAGTGCTTTTTGCTTTTTCTTCTTTCCCTTATTTTTTAAACCAGTAAAAATTCTTTAGGAAGACCATAACCATATAGGAAATGAATACAATGTCAGTTTATATCCTTTCCTCATAGAAAGTTTCTTGACCCCAAAGCTCAGTTTACTATAAACTCTGTAAAGACTTTTCTCTGTATACTACTGGTCCATCTTCATGAGGATATAAAAGAACCCATATGTACTTACTCAAGAATGGTGGATGCCTATCTTCTCTACATTAAATAAATGAAAAGGATGACTTAGTTCTTTCCTGAACAAAGATGTTTTCTTAAAATGTAATTTCATAAATTGAACTTGCAAATTAGATACAGGAAAGAGAAGAAAGACCTTAATTTGACTACTATTAATGATTATTAATGACTACTATTAATATTTGCAAATATTTAGGTTTTATCACATGTGTATCATGCCACACACACCCACAAACCACCACCCCACCACCACCATGACATATTTTTAAAGTCACTTGTATTTATTTACTTTACTATTTCTGTACCTTCTCCAGAGTTTTATTTCTGTACATCTTTTTGTAAATTCAAAAAAAGTGTCATTTTGAAAGATACTAATATATAGTTTCTAATATGCCTTAGTCAAGATGTTATATAACTCAGATTAACTTCATGCAACGAATCACTTTTTAAAAATCCCAGGATATCTTTATTCAATTTACTATTGATGGAGGATAGATTACTTCCATTATTTTTAATACTAAATTTAGTTCTGCTATAAATGCTGATGCACATAAGACTTTCTCTAGGGTATCTATCTAAAAGTGTATTTATCGAGTTCTGAGTAATTCACACTTATACCATCAAAAGATATTTTAATTGCTCTTCACCATTGCTTTTCCAATGTAGACACTCATCAGAATTGCTTTTTCCCCTAGATGGTTTTGCCAAACTTTCAGATTTTTACTCTTTGATTCACTTGAAAAAGCTGTTTATTGTGGTTTTAACTTTCCCTGTTCTTATTCCATGCAAAGTTCAGTATTTTTTTTATGTTTAATGCTTCTTTTTACTAGGTAATTGATAATTTTTCTTCTTAAATTAGTTTATTTTTTATCATTGAAGTTATTGAAATGTATTCTGAATATGCATCCATTTTCAGTCATATATGATATACATGCTCTCACATTAATATATAATATATAATGATCTCCTACTCTATGACTTGTCATTTAGCTTGGCTATGTTGTATTTTTCACCCAACAGAAATTATTTTGATATAATAAATGTATATCAATATTTTATTTCATGAATTCTATTTTATAAAATATCTTTAAATATTTTTCTTCTTTCATATATTTACACAATCCTCTTGTACTTTTCCCACAAAGTACTATTTGAGCTTTGGTTAATGGAAAATCAGGTGAAGTTTCAATAGCCACCTTGTTAAAGAAGCAATTATGAATTTTCTCATTATGAAAAAAACTATTGTATAGATGTCTGGATAAGGGACATAGTTTATCATTATCATCTTGTTTCTGAGTTAGTCAAAAGTAAATTGAGTACTATGTTATGTTAAGTTGCTTTTTAATGAATGATTATTATGTAAAGTGAAGGGCAGCTCCTTCTATTGTATATATGTCAGTATTTCTTGTACTATTTTCTTATGTAAAACGCTCACTCACAGACACCTACTGAAGGAATTAATTTATGTAAGGGGACACTGACATTGGACTATGTTAGCAGAGTGGATCAACAGCCACTGAGATAAAGGATGATCAGTGAGTTAAGGTGTAGGCTGGGATAAAAGGCAATGCCCAGATGGCATATATTGATAAGTCAATGAAATATGTTCTCTGGTATTTTTTAACTGAGAATATAGATAGGATGCCTGTTGATAGCATGCCAGTAAATAGCACACAATGTGTGGCTCAATAAAATTAATGGCAGCATAGAAGAATAAAGGTCCACAAACTCCTGTAGTAGAAGTCCCTACATACAGTCACTGATACTGAGAACACTGAATAAAATAACAGAACATGACTCTATTATACCAAAATTAAAAATGCCTTTAATGTAAAATATATATAATCTAATTTCATCTCTTTCACAATGTGTTTCCATAAAACCTTGGATGGTGGACTGAATGTAAGCCAGTTATTGAAATGAACAAAACATAAACTAAGACAGGCCTTCTGGACTATGTTGTCCTTTTGAAAGGCAGTACAAGATTTATTCACCAAAAGGACTAAAGCAAATGACTTTTTGATTGATGAAAGATCTTAAAAACAACCAGGGACTCCTGGGTGGAAGCAGTTGTTTCCCCAGGGTATGAAAAATATGATTTTTACCATAACATAATGTAACCTAAAAAAACCCCTCTAGATTATCACGGTGAGGCAGATTTGATTGTTTAAAAGTTCTTCCTCATTTTAAGCTGAAATTAATCATTCTATTAGCATTTCTCCATCCTGATTTCTTAGGAAGTTATCAAATATAAAATTATTTTATGTATACATATATTACTTAATATATATGTATCTATATTTATATGCAGTCATGAAAATGTGCCAGGAATGTATATAGTTGGTCTTAGGGTACAAGTGTTAATAACTAAATATGTAAATATATTATATATAACATATATACATTATAAATAATGTATAATTTAATGTATATATATATATACACACACACACACACAATTTCTTCCTCTTTTGCTCATAGCAGCAAGGCTAAATATGATGGTATGCCATCATCAAAATGAGGTCTATATTCATCAAAACTTCTGAAGAGATGCAGGATGATTCCCAATTGATTTTCCCAGAGTTCACTGCAATTTTTGTCAATTTTAAGTTACACAGAAAAAAGAAAAAAAAAGAAAACCTGATTAATTGTTTCAGTTAGCAGATGAAGGCTATCTCCCCTCTTTGTTATTATTATATAAGTGTGAAAATGTATTCTAATGATAAAACAACCCTGCATAATGCAAAATATTTTGTCAATAAATTATTTATTTCAGTGTGTATATCTTTACTGATACAATGCAAAAGAAATGGCAGAAAAATCTCACTTACCATGTAATAAGAAAGATAAACTGCACTATGAATCTGATTTATGAGAACTCACTAAATGCAGTATCCTTGAGAAAAGGATAAAAGAATAAATTGAAATACTAGATAATCTATATTCAGGAGACTTTAAGTAATGCTTACTTATAAATTATGGTCTGTTTCCTTCTAAATCTAACACTTGACAATAGCAGGTATTTTTCCTGAGCGAATATATACACTAATTAATAGGATCTAGAAATATAAGGTTTTAAAAATATTTTAGCCACAATTCACTCAGAAACAGTGAGGGGGAAGAGATACCCAGGACAAGGTATGAGATAAGGGTTTAGAACATCCATTACCATTCCAGGTGCTCTGTTCTCCCTAAACCTCCAGGTGATTATCAGCCCTGATACTCTGGAAGCCCTGACCTCTTCTTTTTCTATGGAGATTTCATTAATTAAACATAATTGATTGATTGAGTTCAGTGCCAATGGCCAATGAGTTCATATCCAATCTCTCTCCCCAAAATATCTGGAAATACGACTGGAAATCCCAATCCTTTCACCCAACCTTTTAATCACTTCATTGGTTCACTAGGCAACCAGATCCCCACCCTTAATGCTTCCAAAAGTCACCTTATCCACATAACAAAAGATACATTTATCATTCTCAAAGCTTGGAAAATCTTAAGTTTTGGGATCTGTGATTCAGGGATTATGAAGACCAAAATATACGTGAAAAATTGTGAATAACCATATATATATATATATACCTTACATATCTTATAAAGCACAATATTTCAACTATCTAAACATTTTTAATTTGTTGGTATAAGTTGTGAAATTTACTTTCAGGAAGGTAGTGCTGTTGGTGTTCAATGAGATTAGACTCCTCCATTCTTATAAGCATAAGTTATAATACTTTTGATATTTTATAATTTGAGACACCAAAAAAACTTCTCTCCATTTTGTTAACACCTTAAATTAATAGATTAAAACACATTAAATTATCAATATGGACTGATTTTTATACACAGGAACAGGAATGACAATTTCACACAGTACAAGTTACTATAAATAAGCTTAATGTACTTTTTCAGCTTTTAATATATTAAAATCTTTTGTGAATTTTCTATTGATTTTATTTTACCTGAAATTATCTGAATATTATTCTTATCAATTTATCTTAGCATTGCACATAAAAACATTAACTATTTTGATCTAACAAAAATTGATGCGCAGCTAAGAGTGTTAAAATACAAAAAAGAAGGTTCAATATTTTAATGTAAAATATTAATGTTTGGGTTCTGATCTTCATATTTTCTAAAGATAATAAACCATAGAAACACAAGTATCAATATTCAAACTTCTTTGCAAAAGTGAATACAGATACCAGTAATTTTGCATTTTAAATGATAATACAAGTTTGAACTCTAACACAAGCAGGTGACTATGTGATCTAAAAATCTTTTATTATGTAAGATTTAAAATCTTACATTTTACCATTATCTCAAATTAACTGGTGAAAACTGAAATAACTGCATTAATAATAATGCTTATTTACTATATCCATTTGCAGTCAGTGGTAAGGAGAAGGAAGAATGATGAAATGGAAGATATTATCTTGTCCTCAACTAGTATTTACTTTGTCACAAATGCTTATTTATGTCTTAATAAATATTTAAAATATTAGATATCACAAATTATGTATTAATATAGACATATGTCATTTTCTCATTCTCATTAATAATTTCCATAGATGTCTTTCTAATATTCTTCTAAATTGCATATAAATCAAAAGAAACCTAAAAAGTTGCTAAGAGGCGAATAGGTATCTTATGGGATATTTAATGTATCAATTCTATAAGCTAAACTACAGTTCCCAAAATTCCCTTTTTCATATATTTCGGATAATGTGAGATTTTTGTGGAAGAAGGAAATGAAACTGCAGCCATTTGGCAGCTCACACATATTGTCACTTACCCACTGGCTCCCCTTTTGGCATGAGTCAGTTGCAGTGTCTTCCTCGAAATTATCCTTTTCTTCTCTGGCTCCAGGGTGGGCTTGGTTCCATGAGGGTCTTGGCTTCTATAAAACACACATATCCTCAAAGTCAGAGGCAACAAGAACTGAAGTGTTTCTGTTTCATATTTATAGACTCTAACTTGCATTTATGAGTCTAGATTCTTCTTGTTTTTCTTCTCTGATTGAACCCTGACTAATACAGGCACAAAATGATAGAAGAGTATGCTAATCTGTGCCTTAGTGGAGCATAGCTGATGACTATTGCCTCAGGTTTAAGCCAATATTTGAAAATGGTGGTTTAACACAAATGTTCTTTCTCCTTCTGCTGCCAACATACTCACTATTTCAAGTGCTTTGAGAAAATGTGAGTATTATACAAATTTGAATTTTTACTACTATTATTATTATCGGCATTGTTATTAATCATTGTATGGTAAATAAGCAAAGCATGCTTTCAAATTCAATATTTATTAGATGGATACTTATATGAATATTAAATATTAAAAGTTGGTCACATATGATACATATCCATTTTTACTGACTTTAAAAAGTATGATCGAAGGCATTTGGTTGTATGTAGTTGACAAAGTCAAGAAGTCAAATAACCTCTTAAATGAACTTAGTGATTTAAACTAGAATCCCAACATATTGATCCTTTTTAACTCTGGACATCTGTTACTCAGCTTCAAGCTACCAAACATCTCTCTCATTTCTTTTGAGCCAGAGCAGGGAACAGAGCAGGCAGAAGGACCGAAGTACACTGCTGAGGGGAGCAGCGGGCGGCAGGAGAGGTCTGCGCGCCACGTGTGACTCTCCTCCGGTGGTCAGGGAGCAGCCAGGGATCGAACCGGCACTGAAGAGGCTGAGGGCAGCTTTGCAACCCAGTGCTCAACCTCTGTGCCACCGGGGAGGCCCTATCTCTCTCATTTCTGCCATAACTGAGCACAATTATTTATTTTATTGGTTTACATGCTTCATTTTTTTTATTTATTTTCAAAGAGAGAGCTGGTGCTCCTTTGCAATATATTAATAGGTGTGCCATAGGATTTGTTATTGAGACCCACCATGCCTGACTTTAGTTTCTACCGACCAATAGCTTTGCTATTGATGAAATAAGGTATATAATTTAACTGAATATACGAATTAACCATAAATATTTCAAAGCTATAGCATAATATTCTCTTGACTCTTGTAAGTGCCCATATATATTTCTATTTAATAGGGATTCAGAGAGAGAAAGCAACCGATTGATTGTCTGGAACCTATTAAGATTCCACAGTGTCACAACAATGAGGAGTCAGATGAACTTCCAGTCTTTTCTGCTATCAAGTCCATGCTAAGTAAAAACAAAAATAGTAAGAAATGAAGGTTAACATTTTTTGATTGTTTACTAAATGTCAAGATCTTTATATACCATGATAGGCAGGATAACCACCTTCAAAATTGCCCATGTCCTACCCCCCACAGTGTGTTAACACATGTTTTATATATGGTAAAGGGGGCTTTTCAGATGTGATTAAGATAACAGACACTGAGATGATGAGACACTCTAGACTGTTCAGGTAGATCCAATGTAATCATGATATTCATTAAAAGTACAGAAATTTTGGCAGCTGTCACCAGAAAGAAAAAGACATGCTCATGGAAAAAGTCAGAAATAATGGCAGCACAAGAAGTGCTCTGAGATCTGTCATTGCTGTCATTTAAGAAGGAGAAAGTGAGCTACAAAGGAATACAGTAGTTTCTATAAGCTATACAAGGCTAGGAAGTGGATTCTCTTCTATACTTTTTGCAAATGTAGTTTTAGCCAGCTAAAACCCATGATGGACATCTGGACTATAAAAATATAAAATAATAAATTTTTGTTGTCTTAATCCATTAAGTTTATAGGAAAACATATACAAATTATAATTCACATGGCATAAAGTCCTCTTCTTTTTCCCCCCATTTTATCTGACTGGAGTGCAAATATGGTGAAGGTGAATTTTAAATCATGTAGACAAAAAGCATAACTTAAGGATGGGGGTAAACAAAGTAAAGGAACCAAACGTTGAATACCATTGAGCCATCATTTTAACACTACACTGCTCATATATGGATTATAAGAACACAAACTATTTGATTTAAACACTGCTATTTGTGATCTCTTGTAATATCTCAAGCTATACATTTAATAATGCAGATATCAATATGAAGTACAGATAATATGATAAAAACAAATAAAAATAATTTTAAAGTAATAGTAAGTGTTAATGGAATGGAGTTATTAAAACACTCTCAGAATTATATAAGCACTTTCATCTATACACAGTTTTAAATAAGTGCATATAATTACAAAATGAAATTTCAACAAATGTCTAAGTACTACTTTATTAACCCTGATATCTGAATACATTGAGATAAAACTGGAAACCAAAAATAATTAAAATCTCCATGTATTAGAACTGAAATAAAATGCTTATAAATAATTCATGGATATAAAAATCATAATGCAAAATGTAAAATATTCAAAACTGGCTGAAAATGATAATAAATCATATCAAATTCATGTGATCAGTTAAAGAAATATTTTGTGTTAAATAATTAGTTTAATGTAGTTTTGTATAATAGATAAAAGAGTACAAATTAATTGTTCACCTCAAGAATATAAAAGAGAATAAAGGACTTTAAAAGTATGGAAGTGATTTATTATTAGAATTAACACATATTTTTATGATCAAAATCATAAGCTAACTGCAATGAGAGGACATATCTGAAAATTTAGAGGAGTAATTCATACCAGTGATGACACACACACATGTACACACATTTATTAAATAAATGTCAATAAATAATTTATAAAAACAATTATCTGATTTCCTTAAAAGTTAAGAGGGAGAAAAAAATGAGTTCAAGGACAAAAAAGTAAAAAAATTGATATTTTACCATATTACACCAACCAACAAGGCACCCACAGTCCTCCAGCATAGTCCATTGAAGAATATAGTATTCCCTATGATATAAAACCTCTAATTTGTATACTTACTATTTAATCCGAATGTTTCAAATTGAAATTTGTTTATTAAAGTATCCACAAAAATTAAGATAGATAATGAAGAATGATAAATAATTTTGCATTAGATAGGTTAGATTTAGTAAGTTAAAAGAATATACTCTGAACAAATGAAAACTGGCAATGTCAAAAATTTATAAAAAATACATAAAATTTTTCCTGAGATAGAAAAGGGGAATCTCATAGTAGAGTCAAAAGAATTTCCTTAACTATTACCTTACTCTAACCCAAATTCAAAGCTAACATATCACTTTTGAAATGTTACAAGAGTTTTCTTTCCAGTTAGGAAAAAGAGAACAATCTTTGGCTATCTTTTTTGACTGAGACATGTTTTGGAGGAAGGTCTCATATAGCAAGATGACAAAAGGAGAATTAACCCACATTCTAATTCAAAAATTTTGAGATATTATCTATATAACAATAAGACCAGAAATACTATAACAAGTAGAATGAATAAAAATATTTAAAATAAATACGCATAAATATTTTTTATACAAAGCAACAAATACTTAGCAAATATAATGAATATACCATGAGGATTTTAGGAATAATTATATAAAATGGTGAAAATGATACATGGAGAAAATGACGGTGTACTCTAGAAAGTTATTAGTCAAAATTTCTTTGAACAGTATTTTTTTGAAATGAGAGGCATTTTTTTTTTACTCCATAGTTCATTAAATTTAAGCCACAGAATTTGGAAGGTTAACTCTTCATGTATTCCATAAATTTTCAACATTATTCTTTAGCTCAATTCTTACTTTATCCTAATTTATTATATGTTCAGGTTGAATTAGATTCTCAACCCTCAAAGTTTCTAATTTTATAATACATTCAGTAACCTACAGGGTGGCTCAGTTGCTTCTTTCTCCCCTCAGTTTCAAAATCATATTTGCTATCTACATTGTGCAACATATAAAATAATCTACTTAAGTTACTAGAAAATACTAGCAACACCTTTCCTATTTCGAAAAAGTACAGAATGCATACCACTTTTAAAAGCATCCTTTAACTAGCTTGGAAAAGGATTTGGACTTAAGTTTTATATTTCCACGGTTTTAACTTTCATACAAACTATACCAACCTTGTAATTCTTCAGAGAATTCCATTGATTTGATCCCCTAATGTGATGTTTGCATTGGTATTAAATAAGAAGTATGTGGCTCTATTTCAGATTTAAACAATGTCTAATTTTTTTTTCTTTTATCAGAAATTGTAAAGATGTGATCTGCCAAGTATTCATCAGAACTCTCAATTTTATACGATTTGTATTTTAGGTGCCACAATTCTTCAGACTGCCATTTCCTTATAAAGGTTTAACATTTCTCAGAATTTTAAAAATACAAAGTTTACATTTCCTGTTATGAAAGAATAATTCTAAAGGTCATTTTCTGTGGTGGATACAGAATTGTTTTTAAATGTCTCTGGTTATATAGTCTCTATTTTGAGACCAAAATAGGGTAAATGTTCTGATATAAGAATTGGTGTTCTTCCAATTCCAAATCTGCCTATATATTAGGCCTGCCTCTGCCACTTAGTGTCCTCTCTGAGCAGTGTCTTGCAGAGGTGTGTGTGTGTCTGTGTGTGTTCAAACACCTACGAGCAAAATTGAACTTTTATAAAGTGGTATATGGATCAACACAATTATTTTCCAGGGGTTACTAAATAGGGGTTACTAGAAAGAATCTTTAAAAATGTTTCCTTAGGGCCTCCCCGGTGGCACAGCGGTTGAGCGCTGGGTTGCGAAGCTGCCCGCAGCCTCTTCGGCGCCGGTTCGATCCCCGGCTGCTCCCCGGCCACCGGAGGAGGGTCCCACGTGGCGCGTAGACCTCTCCTGCTGCCCACTGCTCTGCTCCCCGCTCTGGCTCTGGTGAATTCTCTCACCTTCTCGCGCTTCTGACTGTACCCAGTGCTTGTATGTATAAATAAATAAATAAATCTTAAAAAAAAAAAAAGTTTCCTTAGTGTTAGAGCAGGATTAAGATAGACTATAAAAGAGACAAAATAGAGAATAATTGTGTTTCACATTTCATATGCTTGTGGGAATTTTAAAAATGCTACTCATTAATATCTTCCATGGATATACTGAACATGTTAAAAAAAAAATAGCAACACACTGGGTTATTCTACAGAAAATTTGAGAAAATAAGTACAGCTCTATGAATTAGTCCAGGGAAGCAAAATCAATCTTTGATATAAGAGATCACGGTTCAAATTCTTGCTTTGCTAAATATCTGCATACTTTTTTGGACATTTTTCTTAACCTAGTCCTCATCGCTTCTTGTAAACTATGATTTATAACACATAGTTGTTCCAGGAGCATATAGAATAATTCAGAATGCTTAGTTTCTTCAGATTTATTCCCTTGAATATTTTCATCCTCATTGTTGATGAAACTGGCCAACTGAAAATTAATTCACATACTTAAAGTCATAAAAATAGAGTAAACACCATGTAAGTAAATAAAGGAAATTCACAAGTGAGCTGGCATTTAACAATCATATTTAAGGGCCTCCCCTGTGGCGCAGGAGGTTGAGCACAGTGCTGTGAAGCTGTCCGCAGCCTCTGGAGCACTGGTTCGATTTCTTGCCGGCCAGGGAGACACCAGCATGGCGCAACAGACCTCTCCGACCTCGCCCGCTGCTTCCCTCAGCAGTGCTTTCAGTCTGTCTGCCTGTTCTGCTCCCTGCTCTGTCTCTAGTGAATCCTCTTACCCTCCCACACCTCTGGCCTGTACCCCAGCTTTTGTATAAATAAATAAAATCTTTAAAATAAATAAATAAAATTAGAAATAGCATGCATACTTTAAAAAAATCATATTTAAAATCCAGGAGGACTTAAGATGGAAAGTCAGAAAACATGCATGCAATATGAAAATACTTTGCAAAGGTTTGAGGAAAGAAAAATACATCATATTTAAAGTGGTATAGGATATGTTAGAGACTAGAAAAATAAACAGGAGCTAATTTATTCTAGTTTTTTAGTGAAGCATTTTGTCCTTGATAATGCTTTGCTTTTAATTTTGGAAGTGGGGGTTAAAAATAAATATGTATAATGACTAATAGAGATTACATCCATATGCAAATATTCAGAATCAACCAACTAATAGTGGGATGGAGGAAACAGATGACTCCAGTAGGACAGCTTAAGGAAATCTGTTGAATGAGGGAATGGTTTTCATAATACTATGATGGTTGAAATGGTGAAGAAACCTGGTAGACATCACCTTAACCAAAGGGTCCATTGTTATCATTGTAGAAACCCATAATGACATAATAAAAATGCTAATATGATCCAC